TACCCCAAAACCTAAAATGCAATTAAAAAAAAGTCCAATTTCTTTCACAAAAATGCAAGGAAAAAGAAAAGAGGATTGAGGAAATCTAAAAGAGACATAATAGACCATATCAACCAAACACAATACATAACCCATATTAGCATTCTAATTCAAACCAGCCAACTACACAAAATGTTTTTAGATAATTGAGGATATTTAATATTACCTGGATAATTTAATGCTATTAATGGATTATTTAGGTGTGATAATGGTATTATGGTTACATTGAAAGGAATCTTCTTTTTTATAAACGGGGTCTTGCTATGTTGCCCTGGCTGGTCTTGAACTCCTGGCCTCAAGTGATTCACCCACCTTAGCCTACCAAAGGGTTGGGTTTACAGGTAGGAGTCACTGCACCCAGCTCACTGATGGAATTATCTTTTAGAGAAATATTCAAAAATATTTATGAATACAATGATACAATATCTGAGATTTGATCCAAAATAATTCAGTGGGGAGAGGACTGTCAGAGGATAAAGATGACGCAAGGTTGGCCCAGACTAGAAGTAAATAGAGGTTAATTACAGTAATCTCTTTAAACTTAAAGAAAATATGTATCTTATACATTATGACATGTGTATCTTAAGATACATAATATACATTATGTCATATTTCAAAGAATGCTTATATTTTCTTTAAGTTTACAACCTATACCTTGAATAACAAATAATAGTCCCCTTAATTTTAGGAACTACTGGTCATAAATATGCCCTTATATATAGTCGTCTATATACATAGCAAAAGCACAGTATTTGACAAACAGGAAATCTCGTAGGCTACTTTTAACCTTATTGTTCTCTTTGCCTGAATTTGGGAGTAGAAACTGCTTCACTGGCTAAGAAAATCATAACGGTCCCAAAATACTATTAATTACTGATTTCAATAAACATATCCCTACGTGCTAAGAACAAGTAAGAAAATGAAGTCCATGCTCAGGTAAACCTGACAATGTTAAGATAGGTGAGTAACAGGGAACTAATATTTAACTGAATTTCATACTGGACTCTCAAAGCCTTTTCCTTTTTCTACTCTAATTTGTGTTTTGGATGGGGCAAATTTTGGTATTGTTAGCAATCACCTATGTAAGCTCTTTGCAGGTGGTGTATATAGAATCAATTAATGCTTAAAATCCATTACAAGGCCGGGCGCGGTGGCTCACGCCTGTAATCCCAGCACTTTGGGAGGCCGAGGCGGGTGGATCACGAGGTCAAGAGATCAAGACAATCCTGGTCAACATGGTGAAACCCTGTCTCTACTGAAAAAAAAAAAACAAAAAAATTAGCTGGGCATAGTGGCGCGTGCCTGTAATCCTATCTACTCAGGAGGCTGAGGCAGGAGAGTTGCCTGAACCCAGGAGGCGGAGGTTGCGGTGAGCGGAGATCGCGCCATTGCACTCCAGTCTGTGTAACAAGAGCGATACTCCATCTCAAAAAATCCATTAGAATAATTTCAGTGATTACATGAAAAAAATACCCAGAAAAGCTTTTTTGTAGAAATTATGAGGTGATATTAACAATTAGAATAAGGTTACTATTTAGACTGCAATCAGCTGTTAAAGTGGAAAGAAATTTCTGAGCATTTTTCCTGAAAGCTGGGGAGGTCTGAGAACCATGACTCCCCCACACTTCCAATAAAATGTGGTGAAGGACTGGTACAAAATTTTAAAAGCCACCATTTGCTAAATCTCCCCGCCAGCCTTGTTAGTCCTTACCGCCATTTGATTCCATTATTTTTCTCGTGGTTTCTGCTGTTTCTTTAACTTTTCTAACGGCCGCTATTAAGTAAAAATGAAAGGAATGGGGGCCGTGTGATCTAGGCAGCTTGGAGATGAGATTTGGGAATCATCAGCTGCATTCCAATATATAAATAGATTTTATTCATTTTGGATACTAAAAGTACACAGAATCGGGACTGTAGAATGTTACCGTCGTACTAGACGACACCTGCCTGGGATTTGCTGGCAATCGACGGGCCCCTCTGCTTGGAGCCTTCAGCCAGACGCAGGGGACCCTAGTCCAGCTGTTCCCGGACCTTGTCTCCTCTCCAGGGACCACCAGCTCCCCCACTCCTGTAGACCAGGACCTTCTGACCTGAGGATCCGCGAGGGCTAGTCCTTGCGACAGCCTGCGTCCCCCTGCCCGCTCGTCTCTTGGACCTTCACTGCAGGCCCGCGCAGCCCAGCTTGTGGACACATTTCAGGCTGCCAGGATCCAGCGCGGGGCGACGAAACGGATAGCGGGATCGAGACTCCGGAGAGGAATTCCGGCTTCCCGGGGTGGCGCAGATCACCGAGCTGCCCCACTCCACCGCCTTGGGAAGGTGGCTGGGATTAGGAGGTGGCTTCGGGCCCGCAGGGAGTCCAGGGGAGAGATCCCTGGTACTGCCGGCGCCTAAGTTGAGGGTGCCTGGGTTCCTGGGGACCACGAGAGGAAAAAGAACGAAAATCACGCCAGGGAGGAAGCAAGCAGAGAATGCTCCTTTGTGAAGCGGAGTGCTCTGGGCTGGCGAGGACTGGGGCGCGGCCCGGGGGAGTCTGGCGGCGCGGTTCCCACGCTCCGCAGAGGCTTCCAGGAAAACCCACAGCCCGGGCGCTGGGGTAGGGACCTGATCTCGCGCATCTTTCGACGCGGCTGGGTCTCAGGGAGAGAAATGCGCTTCCTGGCGCTGGGGCTCGTGAGACAGAGGCCAGGAGGATGAATCTGAGGCTTTGGTCCAGGTCAGGCTTCGACCCCTGAGACCCGCGAGAGGCCCAGGCAGGAAAGGGTGGCGTGCGTGCATGGAGTTAGTGGTTCAGAAAGCAAACCCGGCAGGGTGCTACTGCCTGAGCGTCCTCGGGCGAGTTTTTAATATTTCCGAGTTGCTTATTCCTAGTCTGGAAAATGGAGAATTCTACAGTGTCTTCTTCTGGGAGTGCTAAAGGAGGATCCCGTGCCTGGCACACCGGGAACAGCGGGGAAACGGTTGGCCAATATTGTTATTATTAGAGTTATCAGCAGGCAGGACAGTGTGTGGGGGGGGTCACTTTTCCCCAGTTTTCCTTTTGTTCCTGTTCCAGCCTCCCCCACGCCTCCCAGGCCTTCACGCGCGGCTCCAGCTCTTCGGATCCCCTCCCTGTGCAACTCTAGGGTTGCCTATCAGCCAGTCCTCGAGAAGAAGATCCCCAGGGTGGAAGACCACCCTCGAACCGCGACCCTGGACTCTTCGCGCAACTTGCAAGCGCCGTGGTTTTTAAACCCGGCCTCAGGGTTACAGAAGCCCGGCGTCCGGGGGGTCCGTGCAGAACCACGGGGGCCCGGCGTCCGGGGGGTCCGTGCAGAACCACGGGGACCCGGCCTGGGATCCAGAGTACGGCCTCTTGCTCTGTGCCTTCAGAAAGGCGGCCGGTCCTGGTCTACGCGCCTCAGGGACGCGCCCATGCCTAGCGGAGCTTCGGCGCCTCCAAGACGCCTGGGCTGCCGCGGTGTCGATGCTCGGTGGTGTTGGTGGGTTCGTAGGTGCGCCAGGCGACCTTCCCTTTCCGCGAGGGAACTCCCTGCGGGTCACACCGGAAGGCCGGATCTCTCCTCGCCGCCTGGGTGCTTCCAAACAGGAATTTACTCCGCCACTGAATCGATTGTTTAATGATTCATCTTTGGATATGGTTTCATCAGATAAAAATTAGGAACTGGAAGGCCGGCCCGGGCCGGGGTCTGACCCTCAGTCACCCATGTTCGAATTTTCTTGGCAGTGTTGGTCTTGCCTCGGGCAAGGGAAGGAAGAAAATAAGGAGGATGCCAAGAGAGCTTAGAGAAAGTCCTTTCTGGGTTCAGCGGCCGGCTGTAGCCTCACTCCCAGGACGTTTGTTGACTGAGTAAAAGAACGAAGGTCGGCCTGGAAAGTTTCGCACAAAGGGCAAAGGGGAGTTGGAACTTGAACCGGAGAGAATGTGGCATTAAATAGGACCCCTCTATTATCAGTTTGTTTCCAAACTCTTAAACTGCTCCAGCCTTGCCGAATTTGCTGAAGTAGTCTATCTTGGACGCTGGTGGCGATTGGGGCTGACGGCTACCTGTGCAAAGAAGAGGGAAGAATTGGAAGCTGGAGTCAGGGCGGCTACCAGGGGTGGGGCTTGGGAACTTTCCGGAATGTCCTCAAAACCGCAGGAGCCGGGAGGAAATCTCCCGTGGGGGATCTTAGGTAGGGCAAGAGGATGGGAGGGAGAAGAGAAGCCGTAGTAAAAATTGGCCACTTAGACTACTGCAAAAATGTGGGTCTCCAGGTTCGTCCTCCCTCAAGAAATAATAAATTTATAGCTGAGGGTGGGAGGTAGATGGGGGTTGCAGGAGCAACTTTCTCTCATTCACAGAGCGGCTTCCCTCCAAGTGGCACGGAATTGGGAACCCTACTCAGGACTGGAAAAACGGCTGAGTTCCTAGAAATGTGCTTCCTTCCTGGGGAGCAATTCGTGATGGGCGTTCTTGTCTGGTTTCCCCCCACCCCGGTCCCCTGACTCCGAATAACACTTAAACCTTTCTAGTTGCAAAGTCATTTCAGAAAATTTTTAAATAAGTTTTGAAAATTCTAGTGCTTTAAAATATATATAATGCCTTTTATTTTCTCTGACTAAACACGTTGACCATTACATTCCAAATTGATCTGAAATGGGTTTCCAGCTTGTTGGGGGCGAGGGGTGGCGGAAATCAGCGTCTTTATAAAGATGAAAAAAAAAATGAAGAATATATTTACATACCTTCCTATTCTTTTCTTCTAGAGGTCTCGTAAATAGTAAATTTCCTATTTTAAAAGTCAAGACTTTTTCAACCTCAAATATTTGGCATTTTTAAAGGCCATATTAAAGTGGATTACTTATGTATGATAAATATGAATTGTGAAAAATAAACTAAGAAAATAACGTAGGTTTTAAACAGGCTCCATTTTAGAAAGGGAAGAATGAGACGTAATAGAAAATAAACGATGTAGTGTAGTGACTTAGCATTTTATTTCGTCTATATAACTAGGCTTAATTTTAATACCTTAATTTTAACATGAAAGATGGCACGTCAGTCACACAGATATCAATGTTCTGAAATTAACAACCCACTTACATTACACATCCCTATCAGGAAGAGACAGAGGGCACAAGCATTTTGCACTTAGGAATAATACTTCCAGTTCCATGGAAGTGAAGAAGGGGGAACATGTTTGGCGTTGGAGACTGTGTTTTTTGTTTGCTTGCTTGTTTTTCTTTTAATACCAGAACAAAATACCCCACTCACTTTCATACTTCCCAAGGAAATGTGCAAATCGGGAAAGCTGTGGAAGCCACAGCTGAAGGCAAGAAAAGATGACTTGACGCCCTCCGAAGTTTACGTTCAGGTGGTCTTTAGAGGAATGGAATCCAGCTGTTCCTTTCTAACCATTTTGCAGCAAACAGAAGTTTGTGTTTGCTCTGCAGCGCGATTCAGATGCACAGGCCCAATCTCGGTCGCGCAAGGTGGAGTGAGCAGCTGCGGGTCCCTCCGCCCTCCCACCTAGATCTTGGAACGCCCTGCGGAGTTGGCCAGGGAACTGGGCGTGGGTGCTACTCAAAAAGCCGGTGAGATTCCCTTCTCCGCCCAAAGGGACAGCCAGCGAAGTCAGCCTAGAGCCCTCTGCCACTGCCTGATACCTAAGCAGCGCCGAGGCAGCCGACAGGTTCCCTCCCAGCACCACGCCCTTGGTGGGAGCGCAGCTGTCGGCGCAGACTTCCTCCTCCTGATGCTGCTGCTATTGCTGCAAAACTGTCCGAGCCGCGGCAGCGGCGGAAACGTGCAGCAAAGGGGCAGCGGTCTGGGGATGCAACGGGCATGATGGGCGCTGCAGCAGGTGGCAGTAGCTCCACGGGGTCGGGGACAAACTCTGCGCAGCCCCTGTACCGCCTCCCCTGACCCCTTGCATAATACTCTCAATGCTGAAAGAGATGCATCCACCTTCTGGTCGGGACGCGGGACATTGGCCCTCCTCCCAAGGCTGGGGACCTAGCGAGGGCTGCAGAGCCGAAAGGGTGCCAGGGGTCACCAGGTCCGCGCCTTCTACTTTCCCCGGTGCCTCTGCATAGGCGGGGGTCGGGAGCAGTAGGTAGCGAAGAGGATGCGGGTGCAGCAGAGAGCACGGTCGTCTCCCGGGCGCGGCGGTGGAGTAGGCCCCCGGGACAAGCTACGGCGGGGCAGGGGCCCCAAGCAGAAGGCCCGGGTGGGGGTTGTGCAGGGCGGCCGGAGCAGCGGGAAGAGGGAAGGGGTGGGGTCGGTGGTGGGCTCTCGAGGTCGGTTGGTGGCGCTTGAAACGCTACCTGCGCGGGAGAAAGCTGCCATTGTCGAACACGTCCGGAGAGGCGGGGTCCAGGCTCCAGTAGTTGCCCTTGCCTGGGTGGCCCGGCTCGCGGGGGATCTTGACGAAGCAGTCGTTGAGCGAGAGGTTGTGGCGGAAGCTGTTCTGCCAGGCGGGGAACTTGCGGCGGTAGTAGGGAAAGCGGCCGCTGATGAAGGCGCAGATGCCGCTGAGCGTGAGGCGCTTGTGCGGGCTCTGCAGGATGGCCATGGTGATCAGCGCGATGTAAGAGTAGGGGGGCTTTGCCGGCTGCGGGGTGTCTCCAGAGGCCGCCGCATACCTCGGCGGTATCCTGAACTTGGTGCCAAAGTCCGAGGGCTCGCTCGGGCCGCCGCCGCCCTCGTTGCGCTCTCTGGGAAGCGAACCCCCGCCCCGCCGAGCCACCTGCAGCTCCGGCTGGGGCTGCTGCTCTAGGAACTGCTGGCTTGCCTCCTCCTCGTCGTCTTCCTCCTCGTCTTCATCTACCTCCTCTCCCAGGACATTGATTTTACCGTTTTTCCCATCCGAGTCCCGGAGGCTGCGCTGCAGTGTGGAGGGAAGGCGCTCAGCTCTTGGCAAGTCCATGGAGGAGCAGGTTCTTCAGTCGCAGGGGATGCGGTGGCCGATCACCTGGCCTGGGGTGGGCTGGACTGGAAGCCTGGGATGAATGTTGCAAGAACACTAGTGGTTACCCTTTGGGATGTTTTCGTCTGCTTGTTTCTACTCCTTTCCAACAACGTCCAGCAAAGTATGCACGTTGTCTTTTACAAAAGCTTCTTCAAGACCATGTGTGGTGGACTCCCCCTTTATAATCCTTCTTCCCCTACCTCTGAGCGGTGCCACTTCCTCCTGACGCAGTCCAATGATGAGGGTCTGCTGGGCAAATACTCGACCTAATAAAAGCCCAGACCCCTCCTCCTTGCACCCACCTGCCACCAAGGAAGATGCTCCACTCGTCCAGCTCAGCAAGCTAGTTGGCCGGGCTTTGCATGGGTTCTGTTAAGGCGCATAATTAAAACCGCGCAAATAAAAACGAGGTAGGAAAGTATGATACTCAACAATCTATGACCACTTAGACATGCAGCTTTCTCTCCTGGAGAAAAGAAATGGCGGCTGGGCGGGCAGGAGGCGGGGAGGCTGAAATGTGCACGGTGGTCTGTAAAGGAATGTGTAGACGTGAAAGTACGTTTTTGTGTTTCACAGCTGGGTAATTACCCATTTTCTTTGATAGAGTCTGTCCTTATCCAGAATGGTGAGCTGAATTATATTTAAGGTTCTAACAACATTCCCAAGCTGAATGGGGGGTTTGAGGCGGGGGTTGGGGGGGGTGGAGGGCGTGCGCGGGTGTTGCTTTGCCCCTTTTACCTTTTCCTCTCCTCCCCAAGATGCTCTCCGACTCAAATTTTCAAAAAGGTTGAAATGTCTTAGCATTAAGTTGTGCAAGTTCATTCAGGGAAGGCAGAAGAGCTCACGTGGGTCCTCTGTCCCGTTATAGTAATGGTTCTCCAACTTCTTTGAATATTTAACCACAGTAAGAAATGCATTTTATATCACAATCTTGCACATACAGACATACGTATCTAAGATGGGTTTCACAAAACAATATAATTACACTATAGTGATTACCGATATATATATATTTTTTAAAGGTCATAACCAACTAAACTGATTTCACATGTAGCAGTATGGGCCCAGTTTGAAAAAATGCTGTTCTTACAAAATGGCTCCACATAGAAAAGATACACCCAGTCTATAATGGCTTCTCTCTCCCTCCCTCCCTTCCTTCCTTTCTAATCATTTCATTTTTAGAGACAAGATCTATGTTGCCCAGGCTGGCTTTGAATTCCTGGGCTCAAGTGATCCTCCTGCCTCAGTCTCCTGAGTAGGTGGGATTACAGGCACACACTACTCTGCCTGGCTCTGGCTCTTCCCTCATTCTGTTAGAAGTGCCAACATTAAGTGCTTTTACTGTAATGATAAAACTAGGAACTTCAATGAGGCAAGAAGGGGCTGCAGTGTTGTCTCTAAATCAGTGGGTTCTCATTCACTATCTGTACTGGGGAGGGGTAATATGGCAGCAGAATTGTTCCACTTAATATCCTTAGAAGTAACACGATTTTTAGATTGGCTTCATTTAAATTAGCTCAGGGTCTAAAGTAGCACTACAGAGGAATAAAACTTAATATTTGTTATATAAATAAGAATCTTATTAGAGTACAAAGATACTATGTCACCGTATATATTCATAATTTAAAACCTACCTACTTGGGAAAAATTTGGGGTGCCATGTAATAAAAATGCAGCACAAAATATGCCATTGATTGTCACATAGTGTCTGTAATTATGACATTGAATGTTCAGTGAGAAATCAGAAGCCAACTACAAGGGCAAAATATAACAAAAAAATAGCTTAAATGAGCTAGTGCCTTCAGGATAAAATCTGGAAAACAGCTTTCTTGCAAATCTTCTTTTAAAACTTATGTCTTCTCTGCTCCTGAAGTTTTTACCCTTTAAGGCACCTCAGTTTATATGCAGCTTGGAGGACAAGCAACAGGCAGGTCTGAGCCTAACAGATTTGTTTGAATCCCAAATTTACCAATGACTACTTGTGTGACCTACGAAACTAAGCTCCAGGAGGGCCAGGACAGGTGTCTTATTCAACCACAATAATCCTAGATGTCTCCTCCCCAGCCCTTTGCAGGTGAGGCACATTTCTTCCATCAGCATAGGAATTGGATGACCTGCAGCATTGTTAAGTTTTTCTAGCCCCAACTTCTATAGGGATTGGAGTTATTTAAAAATGAAAGGAGAAAAATAAGGAGGTACTCAAAAACAAAACGAAACACAAAACCCACATTGATGGGGGTATGTCAAAGGGGGAACAGGAGAAAACTGAAAGAGTTCCCAATGGCCAAAGCTGGGATAATTTGAGTAACAAAATATAGAATTAAAATGTAACCCAAAGTATAAAATATTCATGTGTCCACACTGATAAACATAAATGATTGAATCAATGAACAAGGGGAGACAACTCTCCCTTGAGGAAGAATTTCAATTAATTATGTAGCCACTCCACTCCCCAAAAAGTAGACTACAACTCCCCATTCTTTAGTGCGGGCAGAACATAGTGATTTCCTTCCAAGCCCAGTATGAAAAAGGGGGTAAAAAGTAACTTTACAGTGGAGAAACCTGATAAACACCCCTTCAGCCAGGTGATCAGGTCATCAGTGTCAACATCAATAGTCATAAATCATGGTAATAGCATATACCCTTGGTATGATGTGATGAAAATGGTACTCCGTGATTTTTCTCCAAAAACCCCTAATCATGAGGAAAACATCAAATTCCAACACAGGAGCATCTTGTGCACCTGACCTCAAAACTGTCAAGTTCATCAAAACAATATCAAAGGGATTGTCACAGCCAAGAGGAGTCTTAAGGATGCATGACTATTACATGTAACATGATATCCTAAATGAGATTCTTGAACACAAAAATGGTAATATGTTAAAAACTCAGGATATCTGAATAAACTGTGGGCTTTCATAATAATGTGTCAATATTAGTTCAATAATTGCAACATAAATGTCCTATGCTATTATTTTGTTAGTGTGTGTAGGGGGGAATAGATAAAAACTCGGTACTATCTGCTCAATTTTTCTGTAAATCTAAAACTGTTTTAAAATCACATTCTATTAATTTAAAAAAATTAAACATGGGTGGGGAAGAACCTAACAGCCCAGAAGAAGAAACTCAAGTGTCCATCTGATGATGAATGGATAAACAAAATGAGGTATATCCATATAATGAAATTTTTTCAGCAGTAACAGTGAAGTACTGACACATGTCACAACATGGATCAATCTTGAAAACACTGTGTTATGTGAAGGGAGTCTAAATAGACAAATCTATAGAGACAGAAAGTAGAGTGGGGATGGGGGCAGGGGAAAACAGCAAGTGACTGCTAAGAGATTCAGGGTTCCTTTTTGAGGTGATGAAAATGTTCTGGAATTAGGCACTGGTCATAGTTGTGTACAGTAGATAGACTCAACAGTGGATATACTAAAAATCATGAATTGTACCCCTTAAAAATGAAAAATTTTATGGTATGTGAATTATATCTAAATAAAGTTGTTATACCAAATATATCAATATAAAAACAAAGAGCTGTAGCAATGAAAAGTAAGTTGAATGCTTTGGAAAGACTCCATAATGGCACATTACCCTAAACAAGAAAAAAGAAGAAAGGAACCCTTACTGTCCTATCCCATCAATTCCATAGTGTTGCCTTAAGAATCAAGTCTTATTTTGTAGCTCCTGCAACACTTAACACAGGGCCTCGTGCATAGTGGGCAGTCAATAATGTTTTGGTTACTTCTAAGGTTGAATAGTTGTTTTGTTTTGTTTTTTGTTTTTCAGAACAAACATATCAGGGATTCATAAGAGGTCCTCTGGTTTCAAAAACAAACCTTTCTAAATTAATCTACAAGGATGATGATGTCTTGTTTCTATTTCAACCTAGAAATTAAACACAATTTGGTCATCAGAGTTAAAGGTAAGGTTGATTCTAATATTAAGATACATTCTGAGAACTCTACCATATCTCACCTCATCAAAGCAGGGTGAGTTTCTGGACATTTGAAGGTAGAATTCACTTTTTTCCCATATCAACTGCACTAATGTATACATTTCTAAAACTGGGAAAGTCATTTGAAAGCAATTTAAAAATAAATTTTCCCTACCTATACCAGTAATCCAGAGGAAACAATTATTCAATTTGTAGAAAGCAGCTAAGCCCATAATGTTACAAAGTACTGATCACTATTCCTTTAAAATAATGCTTTTAGCTTCATTTTGTTGATAGTTGCCTTCAAAATTGCTATCTAGGGATTATAGATTCTAGGAAAAAAGATACTTTTGTTTATTTTCAATTTTTACTGAAAAATCTGTAAGAAGACTAAACAATCAAAATACTATATATGTTTGAAGCAAGCACTCAGAAAAAGAACTCTGGGTAGCCAGAAAGTAAGATAATTAAAAGCCCTTTGGGTGCCAAGTCTGCTTAGCAGTAACAAGAGAAAATGAGCTATTTGGAGGGTCTTTTCTAACCCACACATTATTGATAGCTGCTGAGAGAGGGAAAACTGAAAGCATCAAGCTCTTTTACCAAAGTGACGCTTTCAATCACCTGGTCTTCCCCTGCACCTTGTGCTGACACTCCCTACAGCTATCTTAAACTCAGTACCAATTTTCTTGCTCCTTTCACTCACAGCTGGTGAAAGCCTCAGAAAGACCCATTTGTTTTAAGGTGTGCAGAAGCCTGAATTGCACATCAAGCCTTGCTGCAAAAGGGAAATCCACATTTGTTGAGACTCTCTGTATTCAGGGTGCCTTAAATTTGATCGCTGGAACAATTCAGAGAGATGTGCATTTGTTATCAACATTTTATGAATAAGGAAGAAAAGGTTCAGAGAGATTTAATAATTTATCTTGTCTCCCTCAGTAAACTATAAAGTTTTGGATGAAACCTTCATCATCATCATCATCACCATCATCATCATATCCTGCAAGTCTTCTATAGCAAGCAAAATAATGGCCCACATTATTGTCATGATTCCATTATAAAAATAAACCTTCTCTTCAGGATATCTATATTAAGTTCCAAAGTCTCCTGAAGGTATAGGTTAAATATACTATGGCTATGATCATTGGAAAATACTTCATTTTGAAAAAGATAAGAATAATGAACAGTACAATGATCACTAAAAATATATAAACATTAAAAATCACAGTTTAAAAACCAAAATAAAACAGTGAGATCCTGATGGGCAAGAGTTAAAATGTGCTAGTTGGGCTTGGAAAAACAGGGATTTTCCTACACTACTATATGAAGGCTAAAAGTTCAGTTGCCTGGAATGGCCATTCATCAGTATCTATTAAAAATCTTAAATGTGCATATTTTAGAAGCTGGTGCTTTCACTTTTATGTACCTACCTATTCTAGAGAAACATTCACACCTAAGAACAAAGAGGCACACACAAGATTCGTTCACTGAAGCACTATTCCAGATTTCAAAAACAGAAACAACTGGTTGATCTGCCACAGCAATCACGCTCACATCACTTCCCCAGCTTAAAATCTCTCAGTCACTTCGCAGGGCATCAAAAATAATCCAAATGTTGACTCTGTCCTACCAGGAGCAAGAAACCTGGGCTGGCTCATAACTCCAATTTTATCTCATATCCTCACTTTCTAACCCTCCACCACCTTTGCCTTCTTCCTGGTCTCCCAACACACTATGCTGGTGCCCAACTAAAGGGCCTTTGCCCTGTATGCTCCCTCTGCGTACAGCCTCCTCCCCTACTATGTATGAATTACGACTTCTTTTAGTTCTGTTATCAACTTAACAGTCACCTCTCCTGAGAGAGGCCTTCCAGGACCACTCAATCTAAAGTTGATCTTTATTTTTATTAGCCAGCTTAAAGCTACCTTCTATTTTTTTCATTTATTTATGTCATTCCACCAGAATACAAGCAATATGAGAAGCTGCCCTTTATCTGTTGTGTGCAGATTCACCCCTAGAACTAATATGAAGGCAAATGAAGCTCTCAATAAATGGTTTTAATACAATGAATGTATTCTACGCTAAACTACAAATTTTCACTCAGTAAATAATAAGACGGATTTATATGTACTATAATGAAAAGACCTAAAACTAACAATTAAGTTTGCTTTGTTTTTGAAAGAAACTGAATTATAATACATTTTTGAACTGTTTTAGCCGGGCGCGGTGGCTCACGAATGTAATCCCAGCACTTTGGGAGGCCGAGGCGGGTGGATCACGAGGTCAAGAGATCGAGACCATCCTGGTCAACATGGTGAAACCCCGTCTCTACTAAAAATACAAAAAATTAGCTGGGCATGGTGGCGTGTGCCTGTAATCCGAGCTACTCAGGAGGCTGAGGCAGGAGAATTGCCTGAACCCAGGAGGCGGAAGTTGCAGTGAGCCAAGATCGCGCCATTGCACTCCAGCCTGGGTAAGGAGCGAAACTCGGTCTCAAAAAAATAAAAATAAAATGTTTTAAAACACATACATATTATAAAAATTAAAACCTTCCCTTGAAGATCTCTATGGCAAGCTTCTTGTTTCCTGAAGCAGCAGCCTGAACTACAGCTCTGATCATTGAAAAATAATTCACTCTGGGAAACATGATGTGAAAGTGAAAAGAAATGTCTTAAAGGACAGAACTTCAGCTTAGTCCTAAAAAGTGATGGAATCATTTTTACAACAAAAATATATTTATGCACTACTTACATAATTAAAAATATTTAAAGATTAATTTAATACATTTAAAAGCAAGTTTATCCATCCTTCGTCCCACATGTGGCCCAGGATGTCTTTGAACATGGCCAAATACAAATTTGTAAACTTTCTTAAAACATTATGAAATGTTTTTTATTTATTTATTTTTTTAGCTCATCAGCTATTATTAGTATTAGTGTATTTTATGTATAGCCCAAGACAATTCTTCTCCCAGTGTGGCCCAGGAAAGTCAAAAGATTGGACACCCCTGTTTTAAAGGAAAAACAAATATATTTATCAGTTTTATAAATACAAGTTTTCAGGAGCACAGATTAATATTATATCAAATATTTCTCCCACAAGAGGACAACTACTTATAAGCTCCTTTTCATGGTCTAGAACAACAGTTCTAGACACTTACTGGTTTGCCAAAGTATATTAAGTATTGTTGTGACTACAGTTAATTATAAAACAAATTTATCCCAGCACTTTGGGAGGCTGAAGCGGTGGATCACCTGAGGTCAGTTTGAGAGAGCCTGCCCAACATGGCAAAACCCCGTCTCTACTAAAAATACAAAAAATTAGCAAGGCATGGTGGCAGGCACCTGTAATCCCTACTAGAGAGTCTGAGGCAGGAGAATCACTTGAACTGGGAGGCAGAGGTTGCAGTAACCCAAGATTGTGCCACTGCACTCCAGCCTGGGCGACAAGAGCGAAACTCAGTCTCAAAAAACAACAAAAAAATTTAATATGTTAGCAAGAAGAAAGCATTTACCTAGGCTCTGCTATGTGCCAGGAGCCGAGCTGGGTGCATTACAAACCTATTTAATCCTTGAATGGTGTTACTATCATTTCCCCTTTATACGTAAGGAAAGTAATCTCAGGTAGAGTAAATATAACACTTTGCCCATGATTACACAGCTAAGAAGCAGAAAAGCTGGAATTAAAGCCCAGATCTTACTTGAAAATCAGCTGGCTTTCTATTGCCAATATTTCAAAATTGCTCAATTTGCTGCCACAAAATAAGTATATTCTCTCAACCATGAATTAAGAGAATGTATGTAGGAGACAATTATATGTATACAGATAAGTAATATTAAAAAGCTACAGAATAGAGAGGAAGGAAGATCAGAATTAGCAATCTCACTGGTAGACCCAAAAGAAAACAAGAATACCCAAACTGAGATAATTTAATCAATTAGCCTTCTGCTTCCAACCACTGCAACCATTTAAAATACACAAATGTAACTCTTTTACTTAAAATTCTGGGGGAAAAAATTCCAAAAGCAATTTTAATAACGTTCTCTGATATTTACCAACCATTAGCTTGGAAAAGTACTCCTTAAATTCCAACGATGCTTTCCTCTTACAATTTGGGTATAGTTATGTAGCCTCTAATAGAAATAGGAGAAAGTGAGCCATTATATACACATCACACCAACCATTTATATCAAGATTATGTATGGCCAGGCTCATACCTGTAATCCCAGCATTTTGGGAGGCCATGGTGGAAGGATAGTTTGAGGCCTTCCTCAACTCAAAGGAGGCCAGGAGTTTGAGGCCAGTCTAGGCAACACAGAAAGACCCCATCTCTACAAAAGTTTTTTTAAAAAATTATCCAGGTATGATAGTGTGTGCCTCTAGTCCCAGCTAATGGGGAGGCAAGGTGGGAGGATTACTTGATCCTAGTAGTTGATGCTGCAGTGAGCTATAATCATGCCACTGCACTCTAGCCTGGGCAACAGAAGACAACCCTGTCTCTGAAAAAAAAAAAACAACAAAAACGAAGTTTTGAAAAATATTGTTAAACTATGAAAAGTGATTTTGTAACTTAGCTAAAGTTTATAGCTAAAGTCATGTACTTCATCACTTTTTAGCTTATACTGAAAACTGAAAACTAAAGAAGTTCAAAAACCAAGATGAATTTAAAACCAGTAGTAAAATCTACTTAAAACTAAAAGCTCTACAATTGAAATCTTCTAAATACATTACAGAATAAATGGCCGAAGTTTATTACACTGACTACCAATAAGGCTTAGCATTAAGAATAAGAGATAGTTTAATTTCTTTGACCCAGATTTCTTCCACTTTGAAAAGTCTCTTGCCACAACAAATCTTTTATTTCATGTAATAAAATGGTGACATTTACTTGTTTAAAAAAAATTTAATAACAATACAATCATTATATCTCTGCAATCAGCTGAAGTTCTAAGAAAAAAATGACAATGTTGAAAGTTTTATCATTATAAATTTTCATGTTCAGTATATGTAAACTCCAAAGCCAATTTCAAAAGATATTTTTGTGAAATGCCATTCTTAAAAAAAGAGGACAGTATATATAACTGTATGAATGTCAAATGTTTTACGGTACAGATTTGCTAAATTTTATGTATGCTATAAAATAAATACCATGTTAAAGTTATTGGCATTCATAATAAATAAATAAATGCTTGAAATATACCCAGTAGAAACTTTTTATTTTCCAATCCTTTTGATAAGAAATGCTTCGAGTGTTATGTACAAACTTGATCTTCTTTGAAAAGTGTTGTCCACTGCTTTTCTGCTTCTGTCACGGTAGCTATAAATAGCTGTTTAAGGATATCCTTATCTAAATTCCTGCCTGCAAACAAAACGAGATATGATGTGATTACATTATGCTTATTAAAATGACACAGTTCACCTATCAATTCCAATTCTTTAAAGCTTTATGATGTTTAGAAATTTACAAAAAGAATAGTAATTGAGTGATTCCATCTTTAACTTTTTAGTTAAGTACATCAAAACCACATTGGTGCTTAGATTAATCACTTTTCTAAAACTGAAACAGAACAAAAGGCCTAACAAGTTCTTATGAATGTTATAACATGATAAAGATGAAACATTGACCATAAGCTTAGCTATAAAAGAGGATACTGTTTAACTGGCACATGATATCCGTTTCAAATATATTTATCACTTTGTTTTAGGAGTGTTAATCCTTTGTTACTTACCAATGAGGACCAATCGATTTGTTCTCTCAGTGTCATCCTTCCAGTTCACTGGAGTCTCTTCCAGATCATAAAGCTCATGGACACCCTGGACAATCACTTGTTGTGGTTTGTCTTTGATTGACACCAATCCCTGCTCAAAGAGAATTGACTGAACATTAATCAGCCTCAGCTCAAACTTAAAAGCAGAAATAGAGCATCAATGTTAATGGATTAATTATTTATATCCATTTAAAAATACAAACTCTTAAGCTGAGAAAATTACTTAATTCCAATTATTCGTGAATTATAAAAAGTTTCTTAAAATTTTCAGTTTTCAAAAAAGGTTTCTGTGTACTGATTTTTTTGAACAACCCCTTTTTCTAATGATAAAGTGAATACATATATTAGGATGGTCTGTCACTGTTATTTATCACAATCAAAATCTGAAACAAAATATGTAATGTATTATATCCTATTGATTATTTTAAAGATTTTATATAGTGTTTCACAGTGTTAGTGGAAAAAGTTGAGAAGTTAAAGGATTTTGGTAATATTAAATAATCTGTTTTAGAAATAGGTTGCAATCAATGGACAATGATGAAATAAAGAAAAACTATTATAGCTATCTGAATAAAAGCTCATTTTGTATTGATTTGCAGCAATGAGAAACAAATTATCTGATAAACTGGCTCCTATGGGGATGAAATTAATTTCTTTGAAATCATGTTTTTAATATACCAAAAACTTTGTGGACACACAAGAGTGGACACTCAACTGCTGACTGGTTAAGCAAACACCTAGAACCACTGCTTCCTGGAAGAGACACCTTTCATGACATAAATACCCAAATATCAAGTCTTATGAGTGGGTTTCTAAATACAGAACAAGAGTTCTTCTAGTCCTTTGTAACTTTGTTTAGAGTATGACAAATATTTAGTGTCGGCTAAATGCATCAGGAAGCATGACGTTCAGCAGCAGCAAGATTTGCAACATTATTTTTCTGTACCTGGGAATACAGAGCAGAAGGTGACATTTCAAAGCATATCGGTTGTTCTATCTGCAACCCTAAAGGAAGCTGTGCAAATAAATTATGTCTTATGCAGCGATTTCCAAAGCTCCTTTTCAGCAATGAAAATAATAAAGAAAAATGAAAGTACACAAAGATTATTTGTACTAAAATCAGTGTTTCTGTTTAAAACCAAATATAGTTTTTATAACAGCCAGGAAAAGGACTTTGTCTAAAAGTCTACTGTACCTTTAGCCTTATGACCTCCATGCAGTGATTGTCCTTGTTTCTCACAGTCTTTTCCCACAGGAGATTCTGTATCAAGTGACATATTTTAATAAGACCAACCGTTGCTAATAGCAACAACTATGTAACAAAACTGTTGATAAATCATTAATCAGTAAAAATTGCATTTACCTGAATAAATACATTAAGTTGTTCTTCCTTTGCATTTCCTGGTACTTCAAATGTGACTGTAACAATACTCTGTAAATCAAGAGAAATAATCAATAATAATTCTTTATAGTAATGTCAACATATTTTTTTTAAATCACAAGTTTTAAGATGAAAAGGAACATATTCATGGAATTTTACATTGCCTAAGCCATATATATTAGGTATATTTTTCTCAACATATATGCTGTTTTTATGGAATTAGCAACTCGATTTCCTACATTCTGCAGAAGTGATCAATGGGTTTAGTGTTTACACAAAATACTACCTTCTATTTTAAAAAATTTAGTCAAAAACCCTCATGAAAGGGTCGTCATTATTTAACTCATTCTTTTGTGGATTCTCAGCAATAAGAATGACTGTAACACATACAGTGTATGACTACACGGAGCCAGGTACTTTTGCCTGAGTCACCTCATTTCATCTTTTCACTTACTCGTTACAACAATCCTGGGAACAAAGATCTCTATTTCCATATAAATTGGGGAAAATAAGGCTAAAAAAATAAGCTAACCAGAGCCAGGAATAAAACTCAAAAGCAAAGTAAATTTGTTCTCTTAAAAAACATATACAAAAGAAAGCCTTGGCTTATCTCTAACTGAATAAGCGTGTGCCAAGAGAAGAGTTCTTGGAGATGAGAATGATAGGATAATGCCCTCTTTGGCTTTAGTATGGGCGATATCACCATGTATAGAGTATTAACGTTAGGATTTATTTTTCTTCCTTATCTTGATAAATGTCTCACTGTCTACCCTAAAGAAACTTAAGCTTAACATTTCCTCTAACAGGTTACATAATTAAAACCCAAACCTCCCTTTGCCAATATAACTACAATTTCAAACTCAGAGATGAACATAAACAAGGGCTAAGTACATTATAAAAATATAAACCTCATCTTGAGAAATAGAGGCTCAAAAGCCAAGCTCAAAATGACTTTTAAAAATGTAGAAAAGAATATACTACAGCACAGCTTTACATAATCTCCTAGAACCACATATCTGGCCTAACAATTTTACTCACCATTACATAATCGTATAGGCTTACAGTAGAAAATACCAAAAAACCAGAACTATTTTATAATCCAAATTTACAGAATACCAAAAGGCAAGTATTAAAGACCAATTTAAGCACAAACATATGAAACATTTATTTACTATCATAGGTTCCCCAATAACCTATGGAAATAAATAAACAAATGTCTTGTATGTTTGTGCTTAAATAAATAAATGTCTCATATGTTTGTGTTGGTTAACTTCTTTAGTGGTGATGTGTGAGATTTTGGTGCACTCATCACCTGAGCAGTATACACTGCACCCAATTTGTAGTCTTTTATCCCTTACCCCCTTCCCATTCCCCGAGTCCCCAGAGTCCATTGTGTCAGTCTTATGCCTTTGCATCCTCATAGCTTAGCTCCCACTTATGAGAACACAACGATGTTTGGTTTTCCATTCCTGAGTTACCTCACTTAAAATAACGGACTCCAATCTCATCCAGGTCAATGCAGATACCATTCATTCATTCCTTTTTTGTGGGTGAGTAGTATTCCACTGTATACATATACCACAGTTTCCTTATCTACTCATTGACTGATGGGCATTCGGGTTGGTTCCATGTTTTTGCAATTGCAAATTGTGCTGCTATAAACATGCGTGTGCAAGTATCTTTTTCATAGGACTTATTTTCCTCTGGGTGGATATCCAGTAGTGACATTGCTGGATCAAATGATACTTCTACTTTTAGTTCTTTAAGGAATCTCCACACTGTTTTCCATAGTGGTTGTACTAGTTTACATTCCCACCAGCAGTGTAGAAGTGTTCCCTGTTCACTGCATCCACGACAATATCTACTATTTTTTGAATATGGCTGTTCTTGCAGAAATAAGGTGGTATCACACTGTGGTTTTGATTTGCATTTCCCTGATTATTAGTGATTAGTGATGTTGAGCATTTTTTATATGTTTATTGGTCATTTGTATATCTTCTTTTAAGAACTGTCTATTCACGTTCTTAACCCACTTTTTGAAGGGATTTTTTTTCTTGCTGATTTGTTTGAATTCATTCTAGATTCTGGATATTTGTCCTTTGTCAGATGTATAGATTGTGAAAGAGTTTCTCCTACTTTGCAGGTTGTCTGTTTCTGACTGTTCTTTTGCCATGCAAAAGCTCTTCAGTTTAATTAAGTCCCAGCTATTTATATGTTTTCACTGTATTTGCTTTGGGGTTCTTGGTCATGAAATCCTTGTCTAAGCCAATGTCTAGAAGGATTTTTCCAATGTTATCTTCTAGAATTTTGATAGGTTCAGGTCTTAGATTTAAGTCTTTAATCTATCTTGAGTTGATTTTTATAAACACTGAAAGATGAGAGGATCCAGTTTCATTCTCCTACATGTGGCTAGCCAATCATCCCAGCACCATTTGTTGAAAAGTGTGTCCTTTCCCCGCTTTATGTTTTTGCTTGCTTTGTTGAAGATTAGTTGGCCGTTAAGTATTTGGATTCTCTATGGTGTTGCACTGGTCTATGTGCCTAGTTTTATAACAGTATCATGCTATTTGGGTGACAATGGCCTTATAGTATAGTGTGAAATCAGGTAATGTGATACCTCCGGATTTGTTCTTTTTGCTTAGTCTTGCTTTGGCTATGTGTATGTGTATGTGAAACTATCCCTGCATCAGTGGTACAAAACCCCTTGATCATGGTGGATTATCTTTTTGATATGTTGTTAGATAAGGTTAGCTAGTATTTTGTTAAGGATTTTAGCATCTATGTTCATCAGGGATATTGGTCTGTAGTTTTCTTTGGTTATGTCCTTTCCTTGTTTTGTTATTAGGGTGATACTGGCTTCATAGAATGATTCAGGAAGGGTTCCCTCTTTATCTTGTGGAATAGTGTCTATAGGATTGGTACCGATTCTCCTTTGAATATCTGGTAGAATTCTATTGTGAATCCATCTAGTCCTGAACATTTTTGTTGGTAATTTTAAATTACTATTTCATGTTATTACCAATAACTGCTTGTTATTGGTCTATTCAGG